TTTTGGACTCTGGGAATAACTTCGATCCTCTGCGTAATTGCAACACACAACTGGAGGAAAGTCTCAATCTGATAGGTGAAGATAGTTCTTCAGATTTTGATGAAGACGGCTTGAAGTTGTTGGAAGTGGAATTGTTGAATACGGACAACAAAGATAACGTTTTTGATTTGCCACAGTTTGTATCTGCATCATATACTCCGAAGGGAGACCTGGAAATGTCTATGATTTGCCACTCTTCTCCACAGTCTGATTTCTGTCCTTTACATTTTGATGAAGCTCTAGAAATGGTGGAAGAGACGCACATAAAATCATGTAGGGTTGAAGAATGCTTTGTGGAAACAGGAACTGATTCCACCTTTTATGAAAGTACTGCACAAGATGTTCTTGCCAGTAAATATGATCATCTAAGTTTTCAAAGTGAATTAATTTTATGTAAAAATCTTATCAAGGTTATACCCCATATACCCAAACATATAGCTTTTGGTTGTTATGATGGTCTTCAATGCTTAATTGGTTTTGCAAGAAAGGATATTGAGAACATCTTTGGTGAAACCGCAAAGAGATTAAAGGTGATCCAAGGCCGTAGATCTTCAAAATTATGCAAGGTGGAGGCTGATCATAACTATCATTCTTCACATGGAGTCATTAAATCCTGTGTTTATATTGATGACATAACTAGAGGTGAAGAAAGAATGAAAGTTTCCTTGGTGGATGGAAGAAATGCTGAAGATCTGCCAATCTATTTTTACATCCCCAATAATTTAGTTTATAAGAACGCCTATGTGAAATTTTCACTTGCTCGTATATCGCATGCGGGTTGCTGTTCACATTGTTTTGGGGATTGTTTGACATCACCAGTACCTTGCGTCTGTGCGGCTGAAACTGGAGGTCTCTTTGCATACACTCCGGGAGGATTGTTCAAGGTGAAGTTTCTGGAAGAATGTATATCCTTGAAGCGGGAACCTAAACAAGACCACTACTTGTATTGTAGAAACTGCCCACTTCAAGGGTCTAAGAATGAGAAGAGTTCTGTGCCATGCAAAGGCCATTCGTTACGGAAATTTATAAAGGAATGCTGGTCTAAATGCAGGTGTAACAAGAAATGCAGAAACCGGATTGTTCAGCAAGGCATCATTGTGAAGTTGCAGGTTAGTTTGTCCTCTGTGAATTTCAAGGCCCTAGGAACCAGATGGGTATAAATTCTAAAGGCGTCTAAGTGGTTTAATCTATGTTGCAGGTGTTTTTGACACACGAAGGGAAAGGGTGGGGTCTTCGAACTGGAGGACTTGCCACCAGGGGCTTTTGTTTGTGAGTATGTTGGAGAGATATTAACCAACACAGAACTACATGAGCGAAATGTGCAAAGTGCTGGTAACAAGATACACGCTACCAAGTAATACTAGATGCAGGCTGGGGTTCAAAGGATGTCTTGAAAGATGAAGAGGCCCCTTGCTTGGATGCTACAGTTTATGGAAATGTTGCAAGATTTATCAATCACAGGCGTAAATTCCATACTCTTAAAAGTTAATGTAATTGGCCGCTAGCTTTGCATCTGCATTAGACATGTAAATTCAACTTTAACCGTTAAGCTATTTTCACTTGCAATAAACTTAATGAACAGTTATTACACGACCAGTAACGAGCATCATTTAAAGTAAGGGATGAAACAATTTTAGTTTTCTGCTATCATTAAGATAATTCTGCATCTTCTAGGTTTATATGTACTTACCCTATAATGCAAGAAGTAATTATAGCCTAATGTAGGTTGTGTGTGCATTTATATACATTTGTATCTTAACATCTAGGAAGGAAATGTCTTGCACTTTGTTGCTCAGGTTTATTGAACATTTCTAACTGTTATTAGCATGCTCTGTTGATAGGTTACACCATTTATCTACTCCTCAACCAAAGAAATTTTCAGATTGCATAAATTCTAGGTTTAGCATTCCTTCGTATAGAAGTATTTTCTTGTCAGTGGTCTAATTATTGACTGCATCTCTTTACCTTCTCTACCCAAAATAACCAATTTGGTTTCATGACACCCCCTCTAACATCTTATGGGTGAACATGATCATTTCGCCACTCTGTCTATCAAAACTCCCCAATTTCTTTGTTCATTATTTAAGGTTAATCTTAGATTGCATGCATATATGAAAGTTAAGTTATTGCCCTTTTCACCACACGGAATGTCACTGCTATGGAGGAGCTGACTTGGGTAAGAGGGGGGTTTCACGAGTATATGACATGTTATTAATGTGTGTTTGGCATTATCATCTAACTTCAAATGCCTATGGTGTTTCAGAACTACGGCATCAACTTTCAGGACCGCGATCGTGATGGTGGCCATCCCATGAACCCCTTCCATTGTCTCTGTGGAAGCACATTCTGTCACGATCGTAGTGATATGAAGCGTGATGTGCGCTTACTCACTTATGTCCGACGGCGATGTAGAGTGTAGCTTCAAGCATGATACCCTTTATGTTTCTAACATAGGTAGAATGCTTTTTTTATTTTATTAAATTAGTAATTTTGAAATCGGTTCTGCTGTGCTGTCTAATTGGTAAAATCACTCAAGCAGAATCTCAAATTTTTGTAAACATAAATTTGTCATTCCTAATCTCAATGGATTTGGTTTATTGTAATACTAGTTTTTTTAAAAGGCAGCAGGAAGTTTTTAATTTTTTTGGTCAAAAATCGCAAAACTCAGGTCCGTGGTCGACATGGCTTAAACGTGATCTCAAAACATATCAGATACCGTTTTTGTGATGGTTTGGTCCGTTATTATGCAATTAGATCCATGTGGTTTGGACCTGTATTTCTTTTATAAGAAACAAAACAGGGGAAAGAAAAAAGAGACTGGGGAAACACATTTGAATTATGAAATAGTACCAAAACAATGTTGTGCATTCGATGCCTTTATCTCAAAGGAGACTTGAGATATTCCAAGTAAATCTTTTCGGTTTCTCCTCCTTTGTGACACTTGTTTTGTAGAAAAACCACCCGAAGAGCTATGTACAATGATAAACCCTCCTCTGGAAATCACACGTAAAGAAATGTTGCAAAATGAAAAGCACCCCAAGAGAAGGTATGCCGTCCTGCAAAACCACTGCACCCTAATCAGAAATAATGTAAATAAAACCAGAATTTACTCACCAAAATATTATTACAAATCAGATTGAGTTTTTGTGTAAAGCACAAATTAGAAAATAGCATCAGACCACTAAACCGCACTGACAATGCAATTAACAAACAGCAGTCATGATCAATTACCTCACCTGAGTTTCATTTGAGAGTTGACCATTGAGAGTGAAATATGGAATAGCTCATATTATATGATCACTTCGTTGCCTATCTCGATGCATGGAATGTGAGAAATCTTGGCCCAATCTTGTCCCGTCTTATTCTTATACCTTTTCTCCAGGGCAGAACAGCAGTAGATACTTAGCCTTTGAAGAGATGGCGGCAAACCCTCTTCTGGCAGGCATTGGAGACTGTCACACTGTCTAATATGTAGATTTTTAAGAGAAGTGAGGTGTTGAAGTTCCTCTCCTGGCAGGAATTCCAGACTTGGACACGATGTAATTTCTAGCACTTGAAGAGAAGTGAGGTGTTCAAGACCCTTCCCGTCCAAAGATTTCAGAGTTGATAGAGAAGAGATGGAGAGACTGCGAAGAGTGGTAGGGAGCAGCTGTTCCTTGAGCAACGTCTCCAAGACATGGTCACTTCCAACGATAACAAATGATTCAAGGGAGACAAGTGCTTGCAAACCCCAGTTACAGTACTCCCCCGTTGATGAAGATGAAGCCCTCAGTCTCTCACAATTCGTAATGATAAACTCTCGGAGGTTGGGAGGCAAACCCCCATCTTCTGCAAATGACTCTAGATTCGAAACATTTCCTATCGACAATGATCGAAGGGCTGTGAGGGTGTGAATGCGTTTGGGGAATGACTTCAATTTCTCGCATCCATGGACTGAAAAGGAACTCAGGGGAAAACACAAATTATTGAGATGGCTGAGATTCTCATCAATGGAAAGGGATTCCAGATTCTCACATTCCCCAATGTAAAGGCTCGTCAATTTGGGAAAAATGCCCAACGGTAAGAACCTCATTGAATCACAGCTATTCCGTATGTACAAATAGTCAAGCGATGTCAATTTGGCCAACATCTCATCGGCTAGGAATTCTAATTCCCTACAACGGTATATAGAAAGTGATCTCAACGTAGTGGGCAGGCCATCTTTAGGGAACGACGACAGCGTTGGACAATTCCAAAGTCTCAAAGTTCGAAGACGATTGCAGTTGGGCAAGCACTGTAGGTCAACAACATTTCTAATGTAAAGTTGGGACAGGAACTTTGTCTCTAATAATGATAACAGACCTGCCAAAGCTTCTATACGCAATTCTTTAAGAGATTTGTAGTTAAGACTAATGGTAGTTGTGGAAGTGGGCTTTACATCATGTAAAACTAGACACCCCCACACCCAAAGCTTCTTCAAGCAAGGCAGCTCATGAGGCAAGCTTCCTCTCAGCTTCGGACATTTGGTTAGAATCAGCTCCTGGAGACAAGGAAAGTCTAGACCATATTCACCTCCACTTCCACTTGGTACCCATTCCTCCCACTCTTCCATCCCACTAAACTCCAGCCTCTCCAGACATTGAAATGGCTGAATCAAAGAACCTCCATTTCTGCCATAGAATTCCACGCCAATCGTCTTCAAAGACTTCATTCTTTTTATACAGAGCTCTTTGAGACCTGGTAGCCGCCCAACTGGTGGCAACGACCAACAATATCTACAATCACTGAGATGCATGACTTGTATGTTAGAGAAAGAAGAGTCTCCTAACCAATTCGGGAAATTGGTTCCACCATAGAATCTGATGGTTAGTTTCTTCAAATTCACGCAAGGCTGGAGCTTGTCAAGTACATCTTTCTCTTTTTGGGAATCATCAGCATCCTCTGCACCCCATGAAAACTCTAACTCCTTGAGATCTTTCTTATGCTTTATATTGGCTTGCAGTGCATCCCTCGCATCAACTACATTTTGTAGCTTCAAAATTGAAAGTTTTCCACCAAGCTGTGGCAACTCCCTCAATTCTCCTATGCTTGACCCAGTAGATTTTCCCACAACAAAAGCAGTCAATGTTCTCAAACTTTTCAGTCTACCCATTTGCACCGGCATCTCTTCAATTTTAGTTCCCCTGACATCAAGATGATGCAAATTAATCAACTCCCTCATGCCTGCAGGCAATTTAGTAAGAGACCCACAATATGCCAACGTTAATTTCTGTAAATTAATCAATTTTATGATGTCTGCAGGCAATTCAAGGAGAGATGAACAATTTGACAATAGTAATGTTTGTAAGTTGTAGAGTTTGCAAAGTGCCCCAGGTAACCTTTCAATTGCGGTATGGGAAAGATCCAAGTAGCGCAAGTGAATGAGGTTTCCAATATAATCAGGTAACTCGGTGACATTTTTGTAAAGTGACAATGATACGACCCGTAAGCATCTTAGTGATGGCAACAAATCTTTCATAACTTTTCTACTTATGTAGTTATCAGGAAAAGAATATCGATTTAAAGAGAGAGGTAAGAAGGTCCGCATACACTTAGCACCATTTAATGGCTTAAATTTTGTAGCAACATCAAAATCTCCCCTAGCATATGACAAATGGCGAACCCTTTCTATTTCATGTGATTCTTTCCCTTCCAACCTGGAACAAAATCCCTTAGACATAAACACAGCCAAGTCATTGATGAGATCATGCATAGTGAAACTTGATTTCCCCAACTTTTGAAACAATGATCGGGATAAGAGTTCATTAAAATATTCCTTAGCCACCTCTTCCATTCTTTCCACATTCTCAGCTTGGGGAATTAAACCTTCTCCCATCCAAAGAAAAACCACATCTTCTATCTTGAATTCATAGTCCTTTGGAAAAATTGAACAATAAACAAAGCATCGTTTTAACGTTGCAGGAAGATAATGGTAACTCAATCCCAAAGCAGGAAGAATATTACTTTTTTGGTAAGGTAAGTCCCAAATGCTACTGTTTAATACTTTGTTCCATTCTTCGGAGTCTTTCTTGCAACGTAACACACCACCAAGTGTTTGTGCAACTAAAGGCAACCCATTGCATTTGCGTGCAATTTGCTTCCCGATTCCTTCCAAGTTTGGATGTGCACTATAGTTTTCATTTCCAAATGCATGTTTTGCAAGTAGCAACCAGCAGTCCTCATTTGACAGGGGTTCCAAGTATTGAATAGGAACATTTTGCATGACAGATGCTACATTTGTGTTCCGTGTTGTTATGATGACTTTACTTCCCCTTGCTCCTGAAGTAAAAGGAGTTTGGAGGAACTTCCAATCAGTATAATCTTCATTCCATAGGTCATCCAATACAAATAAAAATTTCTTTCCCCTCAGTTGTTCTCTTAGTTCAACTTGAAGCAAATTCAGATCTGTTGTAGTACAAGGCTTTGAAGTGACTGACTCAAGAAGAGTTTTAGTTATCCTAATAGCATCATAATCTTCTGAAATACAAGCCCAAGCTTGAAATGTAAAATGACTTTTCACCTTATCGTCATTGTAAAGCATTCGGGCAAGGGTTGTCTTGCCAACCCCGCCCATTCCAACAATGGTGAGGACAGACACATCATCCTTGCTTGCATCATCAGATAGCAACACTTTTGAGAACTTTTCTATGACTTCATCTCTACCATGGAAACAAGGTTCATGAACCAAGGAAGTTGTTGGAGTTCTTTGTGAAACCTGCTTCCCAGCACCTTCTCTAAGACCCAGAATACTTTTCTGTTGTACAAAGCTTTCTAATCTTTGTAACAACTCTTGTATCTTAACATTCATACTTTGATAAAAATGATTATGAGAAGAGAGGAAGTTCCACACCTTGTTGGTTAATTTGTCGATTTGATCTTCGCCTTCCAGCTTGCGTCGCAAGGCTTCAGTGTCGATCTCATCCAGTAAGTCCTCCGCATCAAAGACAGCATGTTTGAGCTCGTCAAGCCACTTTCTCACAGCAGGGTTTACCATTTGCTTCTCCTCTGCATCATCGAGCACTACATTCAAGGTCAACAATGTGGTGTTCAGTTTCATGAGGAGTGGTTTGTCAAGTTTCTTGGGCCGAAATAAGTCGACGAACTCGGCTGAAGTAATTCTGTCGCACAACACCTGGACGGAAGCAGAGATAAGAGCCTCTCCGATCAAAGCCATCTTTTCTCTTCTCTGCAGACTGCAAGGGATTTGGGTGAAGTAAAATATTCCAAGATTTGCAAGTAGCTTGGCTAGCACAACTTGGAAATACAGGTTTGTAAGGAAGTAGGAAGCTTTTCGAGATTGTAAATAACATGAACTTGTAATACTTTTGAAAACTTTTCTTTTTCAAAGTTGGTGGGATGCAATAATGGTAATAGCTTTTGAGAAATTGTCGGTGGACTTCTTCAAATTATGACCCACACGGGAAAAAAATGGTACAAGATGTTGGAAACTTTTTTTTCTTTTCTTTTTGGTGGGACAAACAAAGCTGATAAGATCGTATGTGAAGTATCCAAGTAGCGCAAGTGAACGAGGTTTCCAATATAATCAAATAGCTGAGTGACATTTATGATAACGTGACAATGATACCACCTGTAAACATCTTAGTGATGGCAACAAATCTTGTAGAACTTTTTTACTTACATATAGTACTCTGTCGTTATAGTAATATTGATTTAAAGAGATAGGTAGGGAGAACGGAAGAAAATAAGAAGAAAAAAAAAGTTGATAGCATCTTGCACCATTTTGGCTATTGTACTCAATATTATTGCATATCCAACTTTGCTTCCACGATGTGAGTGCACAGAAAAGGTTTCAAAAGTATTGCGAAGATACAGGTTCGTAAGGAAGTATGAAAGCCTTTTGAGATTGTAAATAACATGAACTGGTAATTAATTAGCCTGTAAGCTTTGAAAACTCTCTCACTTTGCAGGACCACTGTTTTTAGTGGGACCACTTTTGAAACCTTCTGTGGCCACAGTTGATGCAATAATATTGCCTACACTGGCCAAAATGGTGCAAGATGCTATCAACTTTTTTTTTCTTTTTCTTTTTTTTTTTGGTCGGACAAAGATGCTATCAACCATCACCGGCAATTTTGAATATTAGCAGAATTGGAAAATGACTTTTTAAAAAATATTAGCTAGTGGGGATGAGCAAATCAAGAAAAAAAAAAAGGGATGAGCAAAGGGGAGGGCAGAGAGACGGCAGGGAAGAAAACAAGACAGAGATGATTGAAGGGAGTCCAAGAGAACGGGAAAGAGATGATTGAAGAAACTGAAAGGTTGAAAAGAGAAAGACAGCTCGAAAATGATCGCCTTAGAAAGATAGAGGAAGAAAGAGAAAGAGAACGGGAAAGAGAAAAGGATAGGATGGCTGTTGACAGAGCAACACTTGAAGCTCGTGAATGGGCATATGGGGAAGTTCGTGAGAGGGCAGAAAGGGCTGCTGTGGAGAGAGCAACAGCTGAAGCTCGACAAAGAGCAATGGCAGAGGCTCGTGAAAGATTAGAGAAGGCATGCACAGAGGCCAGGGAGAAGTCAATAGCAGGGAAGGCAGTTATGGAGGCCAGGCTTAAGGCAGAGCAGCTATGGAGGCTATGGCTTAAATATTATTTTGTTTATTATCTCTGTTGTGTTGCATGTCGTCCACTTGGAGAAAGGAATGAATAATGGCTAAAGTCAGCTTTTGTCAAAAGGAAGGGAACAAAAGCCACGTGAAGCAAGCTGCATATTAATTGCAAGAGGGCTGCTTTTGAGGCAAGAGAACGAGTGCAAAGATCTGTTTCTGATAAGTTTATGCTGGTATGTGATTTGTAATGCTCCAGTGGTTATTTCATGCAGTGCAAATCTTTCTTTGAGCTTCTCTTCAGTTTCCATTGAAGAAGATTGAATCATTTATGTTTTATTTTGTGGTGTATTAATTATTATGTATGAGTTATTTATTTTATTTTATGGAATTATGTGACATTGAAATATTGAGAATTAATTATTATTTTAAAAATTTTCGCCGTGTCGCCGTGTCCTATTTTTTTGAGATTTTCCATGTCGCCGTGTCGCGTTCCCGTGTCCCCGTACCCGTGTCCGTGCAACACAGGGGAGGGGAGGAAGATGCTCTCAACTTTCTTTTTGGTCGGACAAAGATGCTCTCAACTATCACAATGCAAATTCTATGAAAGTCCTTAGAGTTTTGACCTCATTTTATTTTAACCCTTACAATTTGGAGTTGATTTAGTTTCAACATCCCCAAGAAAATATATACAAGGCAAGACACCTGGTACTATGAATTAGTGCATTATGAAATTGAAGCACCATTTGGATTTCATATACAAAATATATGCAAAGCAAGGCTCATTGCATGTAGGCATTCACAACTAGCATGTACATACAAAGCATCCAGACCAAGGCTACAACTAAACTAGATGTGGTCCAAGGAATAGAATACCTAACTACAACTAAACTAAATTTCTTCAAGGAACACTGGCATCGTACACCGATGGCCATAGGCCAATAGAGCTTCACTTCTCTATCGCTAGCGCCTTTTATACAGAGATAGTCTAGATTCGATTATTCATTTTGGAGGTTGGCAAGGTAACTTCAAAGCAGATGAATAAGTCTTCTTTACAGACTTCATATCAGAATGAAGCTCTCTGTGTTCAACATAGAATCAGGATACAATCAGCAATAATAACTTTATTTGAGGACCAAATATATCTTATTTAAATACGGAAAAAAAAGATTTCTCCCAAAAAGTTCATTATAGAATTGACGAGCAGTTAGCATACAGAAGAAATACATAAGAATGAAATTATGTAAATGCTAAATTGGTAAATTGCCAAGTCTCCTGGTATGCTTACATTTGTCATAGCTGCCCACGGATGTAAGCCATTGATCTCAACATGGAACCTAGTGTATCTCTGGACACTTGAAACTTGACCTCCGTTTCTCCAGAAGTTGTCTTTGTATCTTGAAGCTGAGAAACCACAATAATGTAGATACATTGAACACAAATGATGACAAATTTAAGTATAAAATAATAATAATTTCATACAAAATTGGATTACTTCAGAATAATAATGAATGATGAATACAAAGGATTCCTATGTTTGCATTTGCAGAGCCATGCATTTCTTGCTGTGTTTCCAAGCATCCTTAGTTTACTCCCAAAATTTCTAGACAGCAGCATTCCAATCTGAACAAATAGCATGAAACACCCAATCCCCGAACTCAGAGGAAACTGAAGCCCACAAGAATGCCCAAAAGTGAACTCTGTCCCACAAATGGTCTGTATAGTCCTCCTTGCATCTTCAAAAATCCTTCTACTCCTCTCCATCCATACCACCCACAACATTGTCAATGCAGCACAGCTTCCTATCTCCATACCTCTTTTACTCCCTCAAAAACAGCTCATGAATGGGGTGGCGCCCCACCATTCATGTGCTTCTCTATTCATTAAAAACTATTATGCTTTGAGGATGGAAAAAAGCTACAAGTTATATGGGACTTTGGTCCAAAGACAATCTTTGGGGTGGTTTGGATGGAAAGGAATACAAGGATGTTTTAGGATATTGTCAGATGTTAACTGAGAAGCTGCAGTTTCTTCTTTGGTTTTTCTATTTTTTTGGGCTGGTTGTGTTGCTATTTGTGGTTGTCTATTAGTATGTTTTTGTCTTATTTTGACCTCTGGTTCATTGTACTTCTATTTAAACCTTTCCATTACACATTTCTTCAGTTTCGTTTATTAAAGAAACCAAAATGATTTCGACAGATATCTAAATTGTCTTCGAGGACTTAGAAAGTTTATAGTAGATGTGCCTTGTCTCCTTATGATAATAATTAAAGAGTTTACAACAGACTTAGTTTGATCACATTGTACTTCCAGCATGAAATAGAAATTCCAGTCTAATAATAAAGGGAAAACATTTGCCACGTTCCTTTGTTAAAGAATGGTATGTATGAGCATGCAATTTTAGTCATTGACTACAAATTACCTAACGCACAGTGCGACGGACTGTAAGCATTGCTGATTCATCAAAACATCATCATTCAACTACAGCAGGACAGAAGGCATTTTAAAAGGTAACAAATGAAAAGAGTAAGAATAGCAGTAATACTATTACTACTAATGGAAATTGTTATAGTAAATATTGTTTTGATGAGTTGCACCTGCTACCTCTAAGGAACATCTGCACCTCGCCCCTCATTGGAAACAGAACTTAATGCCCATCATTAATAACTTAATAAGCATACTGCAATCCCAGAGTAATAGGAAACACTACTCTCAGTATGTTGTTCACGGACCCAGAAAACACCCCAAGCTTAGTATTTCCTTCCTCAATACCCTCTTGGTATAGCTTTTCACACTCTAAAGTCCACTTATTTCCCCAACATTTTCCCAACAGGAAATCCATATATCCTTACCTCCAGGCTCCAGCCCAGATAATTCCTGCAGCTTACTTTGTTGAACTTAACCCATAATCTCTTTTGAAAGATACTCAATAGTGCACTTTACCCCCATAACCTTTAAACAGGCCTATTAATCCAGAAATCTTCAGTTATAAACTCACTCAACCACCTATACTGACTATAGATAGCTCAATTCAAATTCCTGTCACAAGTCTAACTGTGATGCCAATCCAATTGCAAAAATTACGGTGAAACCCAAGAAATTTCATTGTAAATACCTTAACACAAGGGGAAAAACTGTGATACGAAAGAGGTTGAAACTTTGGGTTTGCATACCTTCAAATTGATGACAGCAACTCTGTTGGCTGGTGCAGAGAGCTGCTGACCGATATAGGCCATCGATCTTAACATAGGCTCAAGTGTAACTCTTGTTAGCCTAAATTGTACCTCTGTCTCGCCTGCAGGGTTCTTGCCATAATCTTGGAGCTACAATAGATGTAAAAGAGTAGAGTTAATGACTGATATGGTCCCAACTATTGCTCTAGTATCATTTTGGTCAACCAACTAAAATTTTCATTTGAACCGTCCTTCAACTCTTTTTTTTTTATCAAGATGGTCCTACCGTTAAAATCTATCAATTTTATTGTTAAATTGAGGGGTAAAAATGTTTCTATGAATTAAAATAGTAACATATAATTAAAAATTAAAGGAAATTGCTATAAAACTTATAAAATTTTAAAAAATTGAATCTCACCAGCCACATGGCTTTTTTTTTTCCTCATGAGACTGACCTAACAATTAATAAAAAAAAATTCTCTTTTGTTTAAATTAATTAAAAAAATTAAAGTCACATAAATATAAAAATAAAATAACAAATTTTTTAAAAGAGTAAACAATAAT